AGCGGACAGATGGGCGCCAGATGCTGGGCTCACAGCTAACAAGCAGCTGGGGTAATTCGAGCCTCTCAAAGCAGACACTCCCCCTGCACACCCAGCAGTGGTGGTGGCAGGCTCAGAGGCCGGGATGTGTGGGAGCATCACAGTGTCCAGCCCAGGCTCAGGTTGTCCCCAGCAGCCTGCCACTTTGTGCACTACTTTATGCTGTGCAGGATTGATGAGGACAGTGGGCTGGAGCCCAATGAGCTGGCAGGTAAGGCTGGGCTGTGGAGGTCCACTGATGCCCACAGGCTAGGCTGAGGGACCCCACTGGTGCACTAATCCGTGCACCAAGCATCTAGTTTTTTACATAAAACATAATTACTTCAGAAATTGACTAAATTCCACACTTAGTTTTACTCATATATCTCATACCGGAGTTACATAAACACACAACATATTTGAAACAAGAGCTCATATATATCAAGTATTTAACTCTGAAAAATCTTCTCCTAAAAATGATAAAAATCAAGCTTTGTCAAGTGTTTAAAATGCAAGGTTAGGAAACCTTATGGAAGAGGTTTGTGCTTTGCTTAAGTGTCTTTTTGAAAACACAAATTTCTAGCAAAGTAAGTTTTTACATCTGCAAAGTTAATTCACCATTTATTTTTTTGTTGGGATTCAGAAATACAAGGTCTGAAAATTAGGTTACAATTCTGCCGCAAAAACTTCCAAAGTAGCAAATACAAGATCTTGCATGTATCAAAATAGCCCTGCACATTCTTGAGTCATTGGAGCCCTGGCCGGGTGGTTCAGTTGGAGAAGCATCATCCCAACACTAAAAGATTGAGGATTCAATCCCCGATCGGGGTCTGTGTGGGAAGCAACTGATCAATGTTTTTCTCTCTCTCCCCCTAAAATCAATAAAAACATATCCTCAGGTGAAGATTTTATAAATAAAAATAGAGAAATAAAAAAATGTATTTAGAGTTGTGACATCAAAATGACTATTGTAAATGGCTATTATCTTCCCTACAAAATATCAAATCTTCTATGACTACAATGAACTAAAAGAGATTTAGTCTAGAAAATGGAAGGTTATAATTAGTAGGTGCTTTTTAAAGCTAAGTTAGTAAGAACTAAAATAAATAAGAAAGATACAAAGCATCTTACGTCCAAAGGTATGAATATTTAAGTGTCCTCTAGTGAGTAAGACAAGTTTAAAATAGAATATGATGTAATAAAATTAAATCTGTTGATATAGTTCAGTAAGAAAAAAAAAATTACTGTAGTTTCGCTTTCTAGAAAAACAATGACATACAATTCTTTGAATCTTGAATTGAAGCAAAACTGCTACCGAAGTGCTTTTGTCATCTGAATATTGGAAGCAGCCTCTCAAAGTTTCACTTTGATATATGGCTTAATAGAATCCAATAAAGATATATAACTCAACATGAGTTTACAACTATCACTGTAAAGAGGCCATCATTAACATTTTTTCTTCTCTTTTCAGCTATGAAAATTAAATTTAAAAATAGAGAAAGAACAATTCACTTGACTTTTGTTTTTGTAAAAAAAAAAAAAAAAAAAAAAGAGGGGCTGCACTCTCTCCAGGGAGCACACCCATGCCTTTTCCTTTCTCTCCCCCCAGCCCTTTACCCAGGCACCGTACCATTAGCTTCCTCATTCCCAAGCTCCAAGAGCCCTGCTTTTACCTCTACAACTTGTTTCCTAAGAGGAATTACTTTTTCTACCTCAGTAATGTACCCAATAAATATCTTCTTATAGTTTGAAAAAAAAAAAAAGTGTTTTTTATACCTTTTTCAATTATGAAGGGCCCTTGAACACATTTTTAGAATTTCTATGGCTGAATGATATTAAACATTTTAAAATACATACACTTGCAAATATTATAATAAAACCACAACCAACCTAGCAGAGACAGGCACTTCAGAAATGAAACTCACATAATGAGCTACTGCTGGTCAGAGAGAACCAACATTTCAACAGAATTATAATTAAAGTCCCGCCAGAGGTAAGACTTATCCACTTCTAGGTACAGTAGAAAGCGCTGAGTCAATGTGATGATGATGATGATAGAAGAAGAAGAAGAAGAAGAAGAAGAAGAAGAAGAAGAAGGAGGAGGAGGAGGAGGAGGAGGAGGAGGAGGAGGAGGAGGAGGAGGAGGAGGAGGAGGAGAAGGCGGCTGTGTAAAAAAAAGTTGAAGAAGAAGAAGAAGAAGAAGAAGAAGAAGAAGAAGAAGAAGAAGAAGAAGAAGAAGAAGACTGTGTAAAAAAAAAAAAGTTGCACAAGAATTGAGCCAAAAAGATTTAAAAAAAAAAAAAAAAAACCAGAATTTGCTTTGTGATATTTTCATGTTTTAGGTGATTGTAAAGGTTTACAGACCTTTGCAATGATGCTGCTTAAATGTCCACAGTCCTTTCAAATCTCTTCAGGTCAGATTGTTGCAGAATTCACAATTCTTCGCATTGTGAACATGTAAGATAAGGAATATGCTGGATGTTATGAAACATTTGCACAGAATCTGGGACAATCCCTTTAATCAAACCCATGGACATTCTTTAGGCAAAATTAAGGAAATCCATGAAGTGGCATGAATAAAAATTATCATTATCTCATGTCGGTTCACAGTAGGTTTTACTATCAAATGAATTACGGCACCAAATTGAGAATAAGAAAAGCACCTTCGTTTTCAAAGCTTTTTTGGATAAGGACTATGGGTCTGTGACGTCTCTGGCATCGTGATCTCCACACCTCTGCTCTCGTGCCTGAGCTCCACTGGTTTGGGACATCATCTCCCACCACAGACAGGGGCTTACATAGTTCAGGTGGTGGGTCACCTGCAGTCACAGTACTATCTATGAGGACACCTTGAGAAATGAATACTGAAATAATGACTATTATTTACTTTTATTAAATGAGTTACCATCTAGGACTAGATTTCCACATAGACCAGCAGAAGGTGCCAACATGTGAGGAACACTTATGAGAAAAGAATAAAATTGAGAAAAGTGGAGATTTGAATGTAACTGTTTTCTTCACATTAGGAAAATCCAGCTCTTACTCCACTTCGGAGTCTGCACACTATGACTCCACAGTTTGCAGACAATGGTTACTTAAGACTGGAAAATTCCTGACCCCACAGGGGCAACCACCCCCATCAATTGCACTCAAATCATGCCAAGCAACGTATCCATTAAACAGTAATTTCTTTTGTCTTCTCACATCTTGGTTAATAAGACCCCATGGATTAGAGCAATTAAACATGTTACGTTTTCAAAAAAAAAAATCCTCACCTGAGGACGTGTAGAGAGAGGAAAAAGATCAAACCCACAACCCAGGCATGTGCCTTGACTGGGAATTGAACCAGCAACTTTTCGATGCACAGAGAAGGCTGATGCCCAACCAACTGAGCCACTCTGGCCAGGCAAACATCTTACTTTTTAAAAATCAAGTCAAGAGGCTCAAAATCTCAAGAGACTTTGCTATTATTTTTAAATCTTTAATCTTTTTCAGTGTGTATGTGTGTGTGTGTGTTTAACAATAAAAAAAAAAAAAATGTGCTCATCAAAAGCAGTGGTCTGCTCTCACCCAGTGAGCTGGAATGTGCTCTGAAGACGCATACTGTGCAAGGAGGGGGCGTCACGACACGATGAAAGTGATTGTCCTTCCTCACGGAGCACAGTGACAGGATGAAGCAGGTCCTGCTGGCTAAGACTCCTCGTAGGCACTTACTGTGGACATCCACTGAATGAACAACACACCCGTGGTCTGGAAACAGCATTCACGGGACACGAGTCTCCAGAGCTGAACCGCACGAGTGGGGACAGCGTTTCCTGAACATGTCTTTCCAAGAGAACGTCCTCAGGACTGGCGCTGGTCCCAGGAAAAATGAGGTGGACGTCTTATTTCAAAAACAAGTATCTTCAAAATCAGCTTTGTGGTCCAACTTTTTTCTCTTAATGAGTAAAATTTAAATATGCTATCACCAGCCTTTCCTAAAAGCTACATTTATACTACAAGACGAATGCCACACATTGTTTTTCTCTCTGTTTTATGAATTCATGAATGAATGGAAAAAGTCAAGTGAAAAAATTTTAACAGATCTTTTTTCTTTTCTTTTTTTTTTTACAAAAATATTAGAAGAGTATAAGCAAAACTGGAAAGGAAGAGATGAGCAGAATAAACTACAATGGAATGAAACTTCACTCATCGTGGCTAGTGAAAAAAAATTGTAAACGTTTAAGCTTCTAAAATTTTATTTCTCTTCAAAAAACATTTTAGGAAGCTGCCTTTCCCCGTGAGTGAAAAAATGAGAAGTGCCCGAAGCATCTGAATCTAAAGAAGACAAGAAAGAATTATTTTTCCTACTGGAAAATGCCTACCTCCTTCCCTTCTCTTCCCTTCCCTGCCCTCTCTCATCCCCCTTGGAGTTTTCAGGATCAAAGAGCGAGAGAATCCACCAGGGTCCACCAGCAAGCAGTGCGGTAAGCCAAGGACATGATTATGCATTCAGACTCACCAGCAAGGTGTAAAACTCATCTTGAATAAAATAACACTAAATTAAAAAGGAAACAAAAAAGGCCCCAGAAACCCATAAAACTTGCCTTTCATGGAAGGTTTAAAAAGTCCTCACAGCATCTTACATGTCATGAAGTACATTCCTGGACTTGATCTCCACGGGAGAGAAAAGAATAACTAGAAAAAATATAAATGGCCACCTCTGGAATCCTGATCTCCACCCCGCTCACACCTATTCCTTCCCATACGGTCATCACTTCTCCACTCAGGGAATCAGATGCTCTGCAATCCCAGGCCTGCATAGCATTAACCATCTCATATGGAGTTGAACCTCTACCCCCTCGCTTGCAGTCAGGTTGCCAAAGTCAGCTGGTCCCATTTGCCATATTCAAAAGCCATACACAAGTGTCCACGGGCCAAACACTGGGTCCCCTCCAGCAGCAAGCTGCTCACATTATTTAGAAATACTCTTTTTCCAAGGTTTAGGCAGTTTTGTCTGCAGTTCCATATTTGGTTCTTTCTATCATGCAGCGACGAATTATGTTGTCAAAACTTCCAAGGTAAAACAAAGAGATCATACGGAAAAGGCCCATGGTGACCACCTGCAAGATAAAGACAGACCCGTGAGCTCAGCCAACAGTAACATACAACAGCTTGTTTCAACAGATTTCAGGCTATGTCTCTAATAAATAGTTTCTGAGCCCCATCTTCTAATCTGCTGCAAGGATAAGTATAATGAACAATTTGTTAAGTGTCGGTAAAACACCGAGGACAGAAGCTGTCTGCTCTGCATCACTGGATACGCAGGGCCTGCCAGATAAGTAACAACAGACTCTATGTCCAATTAACAAATTCAAATTAAACAAAGAACAAAATAGTTTTTCCCAGTAGTTTTGGGGTTCCAGTAGTTAGGGAAAATTCAGTTCAGCATCTCAGATACCAAAACTGCAACCGAGGGTTTTCAGTTGAAGATGTATGTTCTGATCACAAAGCCAGACCCTGTGCAGGTGCTGAGAACAGACACGGGCCTGCCCTCCGGAAGCTTACTCCCCAGTCGGAAAGATGGTCAGTTAGAGAAAGACAACTACTGTTTCAGAGTTAAGATGGTAAATAACCACATCTGCTAACTTTCACTTTTTATTCTAAAAGACTCACTACCATCCCCTCAAAATGGAATTCTTGAAAGGCATAAACTTGCAAAGAGAAACATTTTCAAATATACAAGGTCTCAAACTATCTGCCTCCTACACTCCCTTTTTTCAGGAAGCTACTAGAACAAGTAAACAGCCAACATGAGGGGACAACAAAGTAAGGCAGAGTCATGTGATACAAGAGGTAGGATCCCATACAAAAGAGAGGCAGAGGGGCTTCCGGGGTAACCATAAAGGGAGTAAGGTGTCAGCTATGCAGACATGAGGGCAGCCAGTTCTGATGGCAGGTTCCAGAAGGAATTCCTTCCAGAAGGTGAAACTGACTGGTTATCTGATATTTCTTAGCAAAGATAAAGATTGTCATTATTAATAATACATAAAAATCATAGATTAAAGAGACCCATAATAGTTTCAGGGAAAACAAAAGGCTGTACAAGAAAGGGGAATTAATTATGTATATATTCATAACTTGGCTGTGAACAGCATTTAAAAAGCCATAAAGAAAAACCGGTTTGGCTCAGTGGTAGAGCGTCGGTCTGTGGACTGAAAGGTCCCAGGTTCGATTCCGGTCAAGGGCATGTACGTTGGTTGTGGGCACATTCCCGGTAGGGGGTGTGCAGGAGGCAGCTGGTCGATGTTTCTCTCTTATAGACGTTTTTGGCTCTCTATCTATCTCTCTTCCTCTCTGTAAAAAATCAATAAAATATATATTAAAAAATAAATAAATAAAATAAAAAGCCATAAAGATGATGATCCTAATGCAGATGTAACATCACAGTCCAGGGAATAGAAATGTATCAGGAGTGGAGTTCAGGACAGATATAGGCCGAAACTTTGGATCTGACATCACTTGTATAGACATGGGAGGATGGACAGGACGGCCCACAGAGGACAAGCAGAATTCACGTATGGGATCCACTCAGGCATTCTCAAGTCCATGCTCCATGCCAGGCATGAGCTGTGAGGGAGGCAATGTCCCAAAACATAAGGGCACGAGCATGTCCTCAGAGAGCTTACCTCTAATAGAGTGCCTATGTCTGAGAAGGAATCACAGCATCATGTATATATAATAAAGAAGAGAAGGATGAGGAAAATCAACAGTTAACTCACCTGGACTCTTTATCTGGATGTGGTTACTGCACCTAATTTAGTCCCTTGTTATAAACTATGCATCGGTGTGGGCAGCCCTGGCCCAGGCTGCCTTTCCACCCTCTCCTTGTCCTCCATCCACCTGCCATATCCATGGCATTGTTTTCCATGCTTGCTTTACACTATAGTAGCCTCACTGTGCTATCAGTCTCTCCCAACAGACTGTAAGCCCCCTGGAGTTTACACCTGATTCTCCAGCAGGAACGCAGCACTGAGCACATCAAGGAGCAGTTGACTGTTTGCATCCTGGATGAACTATAACATCTGTTCAGGTGGGGATTGTGTTGAATCCTTAACTTGCATCTCCCTAAGCTACCTATGGCCTGACTCATGTAGAAAAGGAGTTCTAGCCCAGCTGGCATGACTCAGTGTTTGAGTGTTGACCAATTCCTGATTAGGGCACATGCTCTGGCTACAGGCTTGATCCACAATGGGGGGTGGAGGGGTATTCAGAAGGCAGCTGATCAATGATCCTCTCATCATTGGTATTTCTCTCTCTCCCTCCCTCTCCCTTCCTCTCTAAAATCAATAAAATATTTTTTTTAAAAAGAAAAGGAGTTCTAGTCTAATATCCCAATACTGTCAGGCAAGACCATCTCTAAACTACTCTAGAGAGAGAATTCCATTTTCCAAACACTTCAGATCATAGAACCCAGATTCACTCCTCCACAGTGGAGACAGCGTTTTCTCTGTATCCGCAGAGTCCAGCACAGAAGACTTCTTCCCAGTCTAAATTCTCGTTAAATCTTTAACCCATTTCCCAATGACTTATTCCTGGTAGAGGAAGAGAAAAGGTTGATACTTTAAGAAAATTTTTTCACATGCTCAGATCAAGTTGATAAGTCTTCCTTTATTTACCCTTTACTCATTGAGAGTTAATGAGAGGTGCTGTCTGTCTGTCCATCTGTCTGCTGGCGGAAGCACAGCTTACCTGCTGGAGCCCTTCGGTAATTGAAGTGACTGGAGACATTCCGCAGGTCAGGGACGAGAGCATGTACCCATCTGAGCCAACGGAACTGTTAAAATTCCCTTGCTGAACAGAAGAAAGAGAAAAGAAAGAGGCAATAGTAGTTACTAATCAACATGTCAGGAGCAGGGAATTGTGTCCGTTTACTTTCAGTAGGATGAGAGGGTAACAAACCATGTGTTGCAGCTCAGAAACCAATGTAGCCTTGGCAGCGGGACTGAATGGCTAGATGGGAGGTTCTCAAAATGTGGGTCAGTTCATGGGCCATGGGTGCCCATGGTGGGGCAGGGGGGTGGTTGTCCATGAGGACAAAATGATTGTCATAATAATACCAGAGTGTTAATGACCTTTTCCACTGAGTGACATCTGCAAAATGCTGGCTCATTAGCAGAAACCATATTAATAGTGATGTCTCTCCAGCACCACACACACTGGCCATAATACATCCACAAAGAAAATAGAAATTTTGAAAAATCTTGTAAAATGTTGAAATGTCAGTTTTACTTCAAAATGGCCTTGATAAGGCAGGAAAATGAACTGTTTTATTAAATTCCAACCCTTGAGGAAATGTCTTCTTGATATTCTGTGTAACAAAAAGGGACATATGTGCACAGCTGTGTGCCAAACCCGAGAGGCTGCTCCCTGAAATAAAGGGCTTAAGTCTTGAAACTTGTTTTTTTCTGGAATACCATTTTTAGATGAAAGAACCATTATCAGACCACCTGTGGTTATTCAAGCTCAGTCTTTGGAAGATATTTGGTGGAAAATTCATGATATGGACAGTTTTTGTGGCCAATATTAAAATCTGAGCTTTCCATTAAACTGTCAACTTCCTGGTATGTGAACTTTCACTATATAAGATCAACAGTGACATTAACGGATGTAATTTCTTGGATATCTCAGGGAACCCATATTTTCCAAATGACTAATGCATGACATTCCCAAATTATGAATGCGTACAAAGCATTCAAAGTGCAGAGACCAATGAGCTTTAATGCAACAGAGAACAAAAAGTTCATTAATTGAGTTTCCGATTCCACATTGCAACTAACCTTTAAAAAAATGACTATTCATCCAGTTTGGGTTTAATACTAAAAATGAATGTCCGCCATGATCTGAAAAACTTACAAAATGCCCCTCCATTTCTAACTACACATGTGTGTAAGGCCAGATTTTTCTTTATATCCTCCATTCAAAACTATATATGACAACAGACTGAATGCAGAGCAGCTCTGAGAACCCAGATGTCCTCCAGGAGCACAGACACTAAAGAGACTACCGAGGGGTAAATCAGTCTCTTGTCTCACCAAAGGTTTGTTCTGAGAAATAATTATGGATGTAAAGATGTCATATTAAAACGTAACAGGCTTATTACTGGTTATTTTAAATGAATTTCTACATAAATATTTTTTAAATCACAGTTTTGACTTCAAATATGCCAAATATAATTGATGTAAACCAAAGTTCTCTGAAGTTGTCAACCAGTTAGAGTGTAAAGTGGTGAAGAGGTGAAGAGGGTTGAACACCGCTGGACAAAATGAATCCTGCCAAGATACAAAGAGTGTCTGAGATCAGTAAGATCATTAAAAACATGGAGTGTGTTTGCTCTGAGTTGAGATAAGCAGGAACAACAGAGTCTGCGGTATCCTCTTTCTGTGCCTCTGAGCACAGCAGAGCAAAGTTCTCCCAATGTCTGCATGTGTTTTAATAGAGTTTGAGATTTCCCTTATTCTGCTCAGGTCGGCCCAGACATGGCATCCTGACACATCTCATTCCATTGATCCCCAAATTTCCTAAGTTCAGTGTGGGCCTCAGGTTTACAGACATCCCTCATAATTGGCTGTCTTTCGGCTTTGGGGGGGTCACAGGAACGGTGTCAAAAGCCTGCAGCACCTGCACTGTCCTACAAATCAGTCTGTAGTTTCTGAAACTGGGAACCCAAGCTCATTCGGAAGGAATCTGGGCTATAAGGCAGAAACTCAGGGGAGCGGCGAAAGACAGTTCCCACAGAGGACGAACTGTTGACTGTGCTGCTGGATTGCCCTAGCGGGAAGGAGACAAAAGCTCCGGACTGCACTGAACCCCACTTCCAACTGCACTGAACTCCAGTTCCAGGCTCATTGGGGGAGAGACTAGACTGTCTGGTAGTGGGCAAAACTCGAGGGCATCTTTCTCTCAGAGGTGCTTGCAATGAAGATACTTTTTTTTTTTTTAACTACAAAAAAAACTCAGTAGCCCAGACGCACATCTGCTAGGTTAATGGGGATGACCCAAGAGCTGGCTGCACTTTCTTATTAGTGAACATTTGGGAAAAGAATTCTGGGAAGCAGGAAGGTGAAAGAAAAAGAGTCTGGCAATAAGATTCCTAAAATAATCTGGAACTGGAAGTCCTGTGGAAAAGAAGAAAGAAGGCAGCATGCCATGTGATGTACAGGGACTGTGTTGACCCATCACAGAAAAGCCTCCTTTTCTTGTTAAAGAATCAGCATTTCCCAGACACACATCTTGGTCAGTCTGTCCTTAGGTTAAGATATGTCATTCATTTCCAGAAGCCTATTTATTAACATGGAATCACTAACGTGTCTCAGGGAAGAAAAGCAGAGTCCCATATTAGATGTGATGAATCTGACTGACCCAAAAGACACAATAATTTATGTTCTGAAACAGGCCGTGGGACAAATATCTTTTCAGAAGCACACAAGCTATTAATAAGAAAACCAGGACAACTTACTATGGCATCTTTAACAATCTGTTTGGCTACTTGCTCTGGTGCGCAAATAGACGTGGTCTCTGAAATAAGACGGGTTTCCAAAGGCTAAAGAGGGAAAACAGACACATCAATACCATTAATTTTTTTTTTTAATCAGTCATTCTTACACAGTCCCCTCCCCTGGTTTATAAATCATTCCTGGTTTATAAATCAATCCTTTGAGTAGATTCCTATTTTGAGAATTAGGTCCATCTGGTCTACCTGGTCATTGTGTAAAATTCAGCCAGTAGCTGAACCCAGACAAGGAGGCCTTGGTGTAGGGTCTCGGCTCCATCAAAGCTTGAATGAGAACAAATCACTGGTGCCGGACCAGAAATACCCCCTCCTTGAATCCTCGCTGCTGGCCAGCCCGCTGACGGATGATATTTGTGCAGAGCCTACACTGGGCGCCCTGAGTGAGTTCGCTCTTATGACCTGCATCTCTGTCCTCCCAGGCCAGGGGAGGGCTGGCACCTGGGCAGAGCTGAGGTCCTTAGCAGAGACAGCGGCAGCTCGGTCCAACACCGCCTCTGTTTCTCAAAGGACCTGCAGAGGAGGAGACTGGAAGATAAAATATTGTGTGCTCGTTATTGGGTGAGTGCTTCAGCACCCCAGATCTTTGCCTTTTGTTAAAGGTCCAGCTAAGTTGTCACCAAGGTCAAAAAGTCTTTCCTGAACCCTTAAAGTAGCAAAAATTTCTCTTCCCATCTTTAAACAAATCTGCCTTAATATATATTATAGCTACTTGTATATTTACAACTTACTTCCTAAGTTCTTTGTGGATAGAGTCCCCCTCCCTTTTTTTTGGGGGGGGGGGGTCCCTTCATTGTGGCACACACACACTCAAAAATTCTTTGAAGGGGAATTTCAGAAGTTTCAAAACTGAACCCTTAAAATGCATAAAACTGTGAACTTTATTTACCATGCAGGCTTAAAGAATTAAAATTAAAACCAGAGATCATAATAATCTGGCCACTCAGTGTATATTCATTATATTCTTAAAACAGAAAGGCACCTCACTTCGTAAAAGGCCAGCAGCGAATTAAGAGACAAACCCTTTTGAAGGTGTCATCACTCTCATTCATTCTTCCAGACCATCAGGCTCTGAAAACCACATGTGGCTAGATACACATTAGATTTAAAAGCACTATGGCGCCCTCTAAAGGGCTCACAGACCATCACAGGATTTGATTTTCCCCAAGAAGTTGGCCCAACATTTACTTTAGTGGAGGGGGAAAAAAAAAACCCAACTTACTAGTAACATAAAAATAAAGTCTTCACAGGGAAATCACCTGTCAGCGTTGGCTTCACACTAAGAGACTGCTTAACAAATGCTGCAAATCTGCTTAGCAGACTCCCTGCTTATTTTAAAACAGACATTTGGCTTAAATTTACTTCTTTGAAATAGTCACTTTAAAAGAGGCAGAGCCAAAGAGAAATGAAAAAAGCTTCTAAATCATAAACACCTTCTAGCAAATGCTAGTATATGGTCTATGGAGCATAAGTGCCCATTTTTATGCCCTGGAGCTTCACAGTAAGCATTCACAGAAAAGGGAAGAGAAGCCAGGCCGGTTTAAGGCGATAAGTTCTGATTGATTCCTTTCTTCTCCACTTGACTCATTTGCTCAGTGACTACTATGTGCCAAGGCACAGAGGAAGCTCCTTTGAATAAAACCCAAAGATTGATTCAGCTCAGGGTATAATCCTATATATACTGAGAGTCCTATATACACTGTAAAAGCCCACTGGTGACAAGCACCACGAAGGAATAACAAAGCCAGAGGATGCTGGCAGAGACGCAGAGGGCAGGGAAGTGATCTCTGTACAGAGAAGGGAAGGAATAAAGGAATTGGCCATTCAAACATCCAGTGGGACAGCAAGAGTGAAGCCCGGAGGTGACAACAGGCCTGGCAAGCTCACAGAACTGAACTTAAGAGGAGAAAATGCTGTGGCCGCCAGATGGTGGGGTCCAAACACTGCGGGCCTTTATTATCATCGAGGCCTTTGGAGTCTGTTCTAGGCATGGTGGGAGCCACCAGAGCTGTACTCTCCTGTACACAGCCACTACCAACATGCCATGTTTAATGTTAACTTTGAATTAGCTAAAATTAAATAAAACTAAAAAGTTCAAGCTTTCAATCTCACTTGCCATATTTGGATGCTCGGGAGCCATAATGTGACTAACCATATTAGAGAGTGAAATGCAGAACATTTATGTCATTCTAGAACATTCTATCGGGCTGTGTTACCTAAGAGGTGTTGGGTCTTTTTTGTGTGTGTGTGGTGTTTTTGTTTTTTGCACAAGAAGATTTTAAGCAGGGAAGTGACAAGACCCAAGTTAAGCTTTAAAAAGGTCACTAGCGACTTCATGAAGAACAGTTTGAAGGCAAAAATATCAGTGGCTGCCACTGTTAGAATGGTAGTGACATGTGCAGTTAAAAAAGAAAAAAATCAGGTCAGATTCTGGATATGTTCTGACCGTGGAACCAAGAGGGAGAATCAAGCTGGCATCTCATCTCCACCTGAGCAGCCGGGTGAGCATTGGGCGCCTGGTAATGAAATAAAAATAATGAGGGGGAATGAGAGGGAATCAAAAGGTCCGTTTTGGAAATGTTATGTCTGACATGCCCATTAGATCTCCACAGGGACACAATGGATCAGCAACCAGGTCTTTAAGTTCAACGGAGAGAATATGGTTTTTAAAGAATATCATCTCATTAGTTAAAAATACAGGCTGTCCTCTCCTTCATACAGAAAATACCTTATTACCTCAATAAGGCTTCAAAGATTATTAGAAAAACTCGTGGCTTTTGAAAATATGGCTGCATTGTCCAAGATTTGGAATGGAAGTTCCAGAAAGTTCAGAGGCCTCTCTAGCTAGCACATAAATTGAAAGGAACTCAATTTTCTGACTGATAAAAATGGCCTGCGGGCTAACGTGTGAAAAGAAAAAGAAAAAATCAGAAAAGAGCTTTCCAGCATTAAAGACTAGCGTGCTTACCTTTGTTTTGTTTTCTTCTGCAAACCCAGGTGTGTCTGTGTCAGGCGGGTAGGCGACGGTGACATAGACATTGTATGGCTTCACCTGCATTTCAGAAACAACCGTTGTTCCTTCAATAAGCAAGACACACTTTCATGTCCACCTCACCAGCTTGCATCGGGCGCCAGGCAGACATACAAAATGAATACTGCCCTGATTTTCTCAAAGGTGGCCCAGGCCAACAGGCGGTTCTGCAAGAGCAGAACCACTACCCACTGAGTCAGGAAATGTTTAGAAATAAAGACAAAAAGCTCTTCCTAACATCCACTTCAGAACACAGCTGGTCCCAAGGTATGGTCATTCACCTCCTTCTTCATCTCTTCCCTCCCTCTGGTGTCAGTGACAATCAGGCAACGCTTGGTTTCCCCACCCTCCGCACGCCTAGGTCAGATCCTCTGCCAACAGAATGCAAATCTGTTTTCTTTCATGCTGCTTCTGAAACTCTTACTCATTTCATCAACCAAATATGTTGAAGTCATTTAGATCCCTTCCACTGTTCTTCTAGCAATACCCAGAGGCAGGTCTAGAACTACATGCACCTTAGAAATTTGCTTCTTCAGGGCTCCCTGTGCAGCCAGCCCTGCCTAGAAGGGACTCAGGTGTCACTTCCTCCTTCACAGTACCAGCCAATAGAAATCTTCCTTCTGGTGGAATCCTACACCCCCACCCCAAGTCCAGCCAAGCACCTTCCCTGTGGACACCCTCATCCCTCATTTACACTTAGAAATCCTTCCAGCTTCTCTTCATAGCTCCCTCCCCCACCTGGAATTCCACCTGTTCCTGGAATGGTGCAGAACATTCTTAGGCTTGTTGACCTCACCACCATACCTCCACACTTAAACTTCCCCCAACAATTCCAGAAAGTTCTGCTGGTCAGGTGGGATACACCCTTCCTAAAGCTCTGCTCCACCCTAATTCTTAATGACTCTAAGGTTCATACCATCAAAATCTCTGCCATGACTCGTTTGCCATTGGCTCAGTGTTTGGAACCCATGAGTTGGAAGTGGGCAAGCAGCTGGTGGTAAGGTTGGCCACTGTGTCTTAAGGATGCTGAATAAACACAACAGGTCTGCCTAATGCAACAGACTCCGGGATCACCCCAGGTCCTTCTGTTCATTGAGCCCTTTTTCTCCCTACATCCTGCCGGGAGCACAGTTCTGAAGTCTGTGGGAGAAGCTATAAGGGCCCAGAGAAACCCGCAGACAGAAGGTCCTCGCCAGCCAGCCTGGGAAGAGCAATAGCAAAGGTGACATCTCTGTTGTTTCGGCTCTGGTGCACCTAGGGCATAAGAGCTCTTTCACTCGGCACAGGCAGGGCATGTATCTTCAAGTCCACGCTACCTCATAAGTAGCTCTGGATTTGGGCCAGGTGGTGAGGTTGTTGAGCAAGCAAGTTCTCTTCCACTTGTTTTTAAGACTTCCACTTCTTTTAAAAAACTCTCCCGTGGCCTTTACCCGTTGTGCACAGACCAGAGAACACACATATGGGATATAAAACTGAAAGCAACAAAGACAGCCGGGACCGGTTTGGCTCAATGGATAGAGCGTCGGCTTGGGGACTGAAAGGTCCCGGGTTCGATTCTGGTCAAGGGCATGTACCTTGGTTGCGGGCATATCCCCAGTAGGGGGTGTGCAAGAGGCAGCTGATCGATGACTCTCTCATCGATGTTTCTAACTCTCTATCTCTCTCCCTTCCTCTCTGTATAAAGTCAATAAAGTATATTAAAAAAAAAAAAAAAAAAAAAAAAAAAAAGAAAGCAACAAAGACAAACAAACAAGCAAACCAAAATGCACAAACACAGACAACAGGATGGTGGTTACCAGAGAGAAGGGCTCCCCTTCTAGCAAAGGGAAAAAAGGGTCAAATATATGGTGATGGAAGAAGAGCTGAGTTTGGGTGGGGAGCACACAATGATGTACTCTTGAAATCTATATAATTTTATTAACCAATGTCACCCCAATAAATTTAGTAAAAAAAAAAAAAACTTGTAAAAGCCAATATGTGGTCATTAGTCGCTATAAAGGCTGATGCTTATGGTTCAAATGTGTTCACTTCTGGGCTGCCCTTCTCCCCAACAATAAGGATGATGGCACATAAGCCAATTAAGACAGCATTTCAAAGCAGTGTTTCTCACACTCAAAGTCATGGCTATGCTCCCAAATAATTAAAACAATCTTTCAGTGTTTCAAATGTGGGAAGAGTTGGGTCAGAGGGACTGAGTAGGGTCAGAACAAGAGATGAAAAGGAGAGCCCCTACTTTTATTTAGTCTCCGCTTCCCCAAAAAATTAATATAAAAAATTTTTGAATGATGAATTTGTACCTGAGACTGATTTAAAAAAAAAAAAAAAAAAGATAAATGCAACAAAGCAAGCTTTCAAAGATTAGTCATTGTACATAAAACATTTCTAAGGCTCAACTTTAGTTTTGGTGGAGTGGACAGGAAGACATAAGAGTTAAACTAAAAAGGATTACACAAAGTACGTAGCGTAGCGTTTAAGCAGTTCTATAAGAGCTGTTTCATTCATAGAAAACACCACCACCTTGGCCACATAGATTCAATTTTCCAGGTTTTGAAAACACAACACCGTAAGTTTGCAGGGAAATACTTGTTTTGAGGTATGGTCTGTGAATAAACCTCTAGATTTGGATTATTGAACTTATTTCCCCCAAAACCTATTCTTCATGGTACAGGTTTACTTCATTTTAGATTCTGTTTACAGGAGGACATTTTTAATGGAGTTCAAATATGGACAGAAGTCAAGCCGACTGGCAGGTGGAGGCCAGCTACTTGCAGAATGTGAATCACTCTGGACACAAAGAGGCTGCAGGGACTCTGCACCTGCTACTGACTTTGCCCCTCTTCTTTATGACTATCTCTGTTCTACTGGAAGTAAAACCAGATCGCCCACATTATACTCTTTGCCCTAAATTAGTGAATCTTGAGGTGGCTCTACAAGACACCATGTAGGGATAAAAAGCCCTGAGCACATCATTTCCAAAATATTCCTCTGTCTAGAACAACAGCTAGATGAATCAGGCCACTTCTGATCTGAATCATAGACGCATCTTTCACTGCTGGACAAAGGCAAAGGTGGAGCCCGAAGCATGGTCTTTGTTACTATTTCGGTACAAAGTCACACGTGGCTTTGAGCAACTCCATGAAACTCTTGAAACTCAGATTTCTGATCTATATGGTAACATCATCTGCCTCACATATTTCACAAAACTGTCATAAAAGTAAAATAGTGATTCACAAAGGAACTTTTCAAAATAAAAATTGCAAAAGAAATGCCAGTATTCTTGTTTGAGATTTCAGTCATATGTGTCTTCTTGGCTAATCATATTATAATGACCTATTCTTTTTTTGTTATTATTAGTCCCCACCCAAGGATATTTTTTTCCATTGATTTTTCACCTAGAATGGAAGGGAGGGAGAGAGAGACAGAAACATGTGCCCCAACTAACTGGGAACCAGGCCTGCAATGAAAGTACACACCCTTGACTGGAATAAAACCTTTGACGCTTCAGTCCGTGGGCCAGAACTCTATCCACTGAGCTAAACCATCTAGGGCAACTTGCTTAATACTCTTACTCAAGAATAGGTCTGTATGGCCCTATTAAGAGTATTAAGCAAGTTGATAAAATTTGGGGCTGGTTCCTTTGAGAGGAGAACAACACAGTCTATGGGTCTCTCAAGTGGCACCTAAGAATTGTCACTGACCAGACAATGTCACTCACCCCACAATGCTCATTCAATATCTAGGCAGTGTGGCTCTCTGTCACATGCTATTGAGGGCTCTTGAAGGAATTTTCTAAATCGGGGATCAGCAAGATTGGTCTGATGACCAAGTCTGGCCCTTCACCTATTTTTATAAATAAAGTTTTATTGGAACACAGAGAAAACATTTATTTATGCATTTGCACATGGCTGCTTTCCTGCTATCAAAGGAGTCTTGAGTAGTTAGTTATACCGCCTAATTCTCAAAGGCTAAATTACGAAATGGCCAATTACAAAAAAACTTTCCTTCCCCTATAAGCATTATCAATGGATGCAAAACTAGGGGGGGTGAGGGCATATATGGGAGTGGGGCGGGGCAATGGTAAGATATGTACACATATAATACCTTAATTTAAAAAATGAAAAAATAAATAAAAATAAAATTAAAAACAAAAAACAAAAAACTTTCCTTCCCCTAATCTAAGTCATTAAATGGGATTCTCAAATTACACTGTTACTAGGAGAGGGTTAGCCACAATGGATTCTTTTCTGGGTTTTAACATTATGTGTTATGTTTCTGCATATATGGCAATATGAAATTTTACCTTGCCTTTTTCAGTATGTGACTTAGATAGACACGTGTGTGAGTTTCTAAGCATTCCCAGGTGACAGGAATGCAGAAGTCTACTTCACATGGCTGAGGTGTGAGGCTGTCACTCATGATAAGCACTTACTCTGATACTAACCCTAGACTCACCTTCTTCCACAAAATGTGCCATTAACTGTGAAAACGAAAAGCAATCACTTTGATCAATAGTTATTTAAGAAATTAAAATATAAGTATTAGGAGACACAAGTGATTTTTTTTTTAGTCCAACCTTCTCATTTTGTAGATAAGTAAACTGAGACCACATTAAATAATTTATCTAAAAGCTGAGAGCTGGCCAGCTTCAGCTCTCCCCTCAAATACATGCTTATTTTATTATCCAGTTACAAAGAACAGATCTTTTTGTCACAGAAACATCTCTAGAGGATAAAATATCTCTAACCCTGTTACTCATACTCATACAGTATTAGAACAATAATACAATGAAGACATTAGGAGTACTTTGTGTATTAAATTAAGCAAGCAAAAACCTCACGACCATTTTTCTCGTCCCAACTATCAAGATAATCATTTTTGCAATGAAAATGTTAACTTTTTAATAGTAAAATTCAGGCATTGAGCCAATTCTCTTCCACTAATGTCAAATCTACAAATCTATAATTCCATATAACAATATGTATAAAGAAGCTACAAAATAAAGAGGAGCACTCGCTGAGCTTCGAGAAATAAATATAAAACCGAAGACAGCATTTACCTCCATCTGCAGAGCTTCAGCCAAACCCTTGATGGCGAACTTGGATGGAGAGTAGGCAGTGTAACCGAACAGTCCCACTTGTCCCGCCTGGGATGACAAAAAGACGATCCTGCCCACCCGGCGCTCCTTCATGGTGGTGATTACAGCTCGGCTGGGGTACACGCTGCCCAGGTAGTTAATGCTCATCAGCTTCTGCAGGGGGCAAAGAGGCCATGAGGAATGAGAAAGGTTGAAGACACAAGGCTGCGCTCCCAGGAATTCAATCTGCTCTCCAGCTTGCACTTCTTCAATGGAGCCCAACTGACTGGAACTCAGTGGATTTGATGAATGAACGAATGATTAAATGACCCTGTCAATGAGCCATGATGCTCAGGATCTACTATTTGAAGTTTGTTTCAATCTGGTCCTGCATTCTCACCATGACCACAGTTACACCTTTGCTAAAAATTGGTTAAAACTAGTTTTCTTCTTGCGGGTAATATTTTTTGAAAAATAGTTTTAGGAGTAAGCTTCAAAATACGTCTAACTCATTAGTTTCAAGATAAAAATAAAAATAAAAATAAAAAAAGACCACAAAGAATCTAGGACAGTGGTTAGCAGCATAGATTATGGTTTGAAGACTGAGTTCTTCCATTTACTATCTACTTGATGATAAGAAAGTCAAACACTCTACTTATTATATTTCTACAGCTGAAAGCTGAGTTAAGAATGGTATTATCTCATAGCCCTTGCAAGGATTACAAGAGGAAACACAAGTTGGGTACTAGCACGGGCCCTGATCCACAATAACTACTCAAATGTTGGCTCTTATTTGTGATGGGTAAGATCTTACATAAGTATCAACAGTATATTTCCCCTCATCCTGGGAACTCTAAAAAACCTTACATTTTAACTTGAAAATCTAAGACTACTTACATTAAAATGTTTTTATGTTAAAAGTCTTGTACAGCCGAAACCGGTTTGGCTCAGTGGATAAAGTGTCGGCTTGGGGACTGAAAGGTCCCGGGTTCGATTCTGGTCAAGGGCATGTACCTTGATTGCGGGCATATCTCCAGTAGGGGATGTGCAAGAGGCAGCTGATCGATGACTCTCTCTCATCGATGTTTCTAACTCTCTATCTCTCTCCCTTCCTCTATGTACAAAATCAATAAAATATATTTTTTTTTTAAAAAGTCTTGTACAAATATTAAATCTATCACCATATAAAACCAAACACTTCACTGGGGGAACTTTGAGTCAATCATGAGATGTTAACTCAATAGAATGTTAGATAACTTTTAGAAATAATGACCAGAAACACTAGGAGGGAGAGTATTTATGCTGTAAGTTCAGAAAAAGACAAGAGCAGACTGGATCTACATTGATTATAAAGATTTCAAATCCTATAAAATCCTATATAATAAAAGGGTAATATGCAAATTGACCCTAATGGCAGAACGACAAGAACAACTGCTGGACCAGTCACTATGAGATGCACTGACCATCTTTTGGTCCCTTCCCCTGGTCTGCAGGCCCCGATCAATCACCAGATGGCTACCCACGGCAGGGATGGGGCCGGCAAGCTGGCAGGGCTGGTGAGCGGGTGGGAACAGCCGACCTCTCAGTCCCAAGTATGCTGGAGGTCCCCAAGTCTACCTCCAGTTTTGTGATTCACAGGAAGACCTCATGTGACTCTGCACAGAGTTGAGCTTGTAACTATGACTTATTACAGTGACGGGCACAGAGCAAAATCAGCAAGGGCAAAAGGGACCCGGGGCAGAGTTCAGAGAACACCAGGTGCAGATCTCTAGGCGTCCGCTGCCTGGAGTCACGAAGGGCGTGCTTGCTCACTCTCCTCGGCAATGAGTTGTGACAACACATGCAGTAGCGTGCACAGGCATTCTATGTGTGTGTGAACATCAGTAAAATTAAAACTAAAAACAAGAAGCCAAACAAAAGAAGTAACTGAGGATTTATTTTGAATAAAAATGAACTCTTAGCTTCAGAAAATGCACCAAAAGTGGTTCTAACCAGGCTCACTGATGATAAGCCCGTACTTTGATCAGAACAAGGCAAGTTACTGAGCGCCAGGTGGGAGGGGCAGAGTAGCTTTGGAAGGTGACAGTCCGTTGCTGCCTCCATTCGGGGCAGGCAGGGGAGGGACTTTTGTAGGGAGACCAAGGACAGAGAGGGATTCCTGGTGTGAGGCCCAATCACTGGGATAGAGGCCCCAGATTTTGGGTTGATAGTCCTTCCTTTTTAGAAGGCCAGTTCTCACATTCAACATCCCCGAACAGCTGCTGAATTATCGCCGCCTCCTGCTAGCCCACATTCCATGGTTGCCCAATACTCTATCTCCATCCACTTCCCAACATCACCATTTCTTCACTTAGTGACCCCAAGAGCTCCTAAAAGCTGTCCTGTACAGTGGGAGATCCTTTAAACATGCAGATCCCACCACTGCTTAGCCTAACTTAAAACTCTTGAGACATTTGAGACTAAAACCCTCAAGGCCCCAGCAGACCTGGCCCCTGCCCCACTCTGCCCATCTCTGGAGATGCTCCAGCCACAGGCCTGCCAGTCCATCCTTGGGTTTGCCACGCTCTCCCACCTGGGGCCCTGGCAGCTACTGGCTCTTCTCTGGTCCCTTTGTCCCCATTCTCCAGGTCTCCGACCCCATCTCCGTGAAGTGGATAGTCAGCTCCCAGAGTTGTGAGGACTAAGTAACCTAATCTGTGCGTGGCGTTTAGCCCATGGTAGCTACTTACAAATACTAATGTCCTTTCCCTGGTATTTATTCAACTCACCAATACTCGAGAGAAAGCATTGTTCTGGGTACGGGGGATGCATGCTGAGCAAGAAAATAAAGTCTGAGCCCTGGTGAGGTGGGACAGACCCCACAGAAGCAAGCAGATAGCTGTGTGATTTCAGACTGGGGTATGTGTTGTGGGGAAAGAAATGAGGGCTGAGGGGCTCTGTGAGGTGAAGTGGACAAGGAGAGGCTGCATGTCAAACCTGTTTTAAAAATGCAATCATAAATGTGACATGTTATCTCTTTATTCTGATTTGAAAACAAAGAGTCTGCTCAACTCTTTATTTTTTCTATGTTAAAAATATGGACACTTGACATGAAAATATAGAATCTCTCGGTTTACAAAGAGTTCTCTATTACCTCAGGGATTCGTCACAGTCATCTGTGTCAGAACGAAAGTCTATTCCCATTTTCCAACTGGGGAAACCGAGGTTGAGAGACTTGTCTGAATCCTTAAGGCTAGACAGTCATGGCACTGGGACCAAAAGCTTGTGTCGCCTTCCTCTAGTCTCCCAAGGCTTCCAGGAAATCTGAACACACTTCATCTATTTCATTTGTAAAGCCTTGCTCTGCTTTTCGTGTATGGGCTATCTCCATGATCAAAAAACAAATTTTTACTTACTTCAAAGGTACTAACTTCAACATCTTCAAATTTTCCTGAAACTGCCATTCCTGCGCAGTTTATAAGCATGTCCACTGGGCCCAGTTTCTCCTGTGCCTGGAAAAATGCAGCAAAGCAGACATTAAGGAAGATGAAAGAAGAGTCACTCAGGAGCAAATCAATGCCAATAAATAAAATCTATAAAACTATTAGACCTCTTAGGAGGGTTTACCAATTTCAAACCACACAGCAAAATGGTAAGAACCAAACAAAAAGTATATGAAATAATTCCAATTAGCCCAGCCTCTTACTTGTTTTATGACATTCTCCACTTGGCTATAGTCTTGGGATACATCAACTGATATACAAAGCACCACCTGTTAGAAAGAGAAAGTAATTATTAAAGCTATGCAGGTATCTGAAACTATTTTTAAAGTTTTGGTGTTTTTTGTTTGTTTGTTTTCTAGTTTTGTTTGTTTGTTTGTTTGTTTGTTTGTTTAAATTAAAGGCAGTTCTTTCCACGAGGTAAGAAGTCCAATTTTGCATGTACCAATTGCACTGTTTGAAATCTGTTGGCAATGCAATTAGCAGATCTAATTTTCTTGGCAGTTTTTATAGAAAGTTGTTTCGAGCAAACTCAAAATCTGTTGACAATGCAATTAGCAGAGTCTAATTTTCTTAGCAGTTTTTGTAGACAACTGTTTTGAACAAATGCAAAGGCTGGTCAAAGGGTACAAGCTTTCAGGTATAAAGTGAATAAATTCTGCCGAAACCGGTTTAGCTCAGTGGATAGTGTCAGCCTGCAACTCAAGGGTCCCAAGTTCGATTCTGGTCAAGGGCATATACTTTGGTTGCAGGTACATCCCCAGTAGGGGTGTGCAGGAGGCAGCTGATCGATGTTTCTCTCTCATCGATGTTTCTAACTCTCTATCTCTCTCCCTTCCTTTCTGTAAACAAATCAATAAAATACATTTTATAAAATTTTTAAATGAATACATTCTGTGGATCTAATGTAGAGCATGAAGGCTGTCATTATTAATACTGACCTACTGTATGCTTGACGTTTGCTAAGAGAATAGAGCTTTGAGTGTTCTCACCACACACACAAAATAGCTATGTAAAATCATGGATGTGTTAATTGATCGTGGTAATCATTTCACAATGTAAACATATATTAAATCATCACACGTTGTACACTTTAAGTATATACAATTTTTATTTGTCAATTATACCTCAATGCAGGTGGAAATAAAAAAAAAATGCTCCCCTTGAAATGCCACTCATGACAGAAACAGGTCAGACACCTGCAGCCAGGAGGGGAGGCAGCAATGGCCTGCAAGAGGTGAGGAACACCTCTGGGGGGTGATGGAAATGTTCTGTCTCTGCATCACAGGTGTGTACACCTTTAAATGGGTGTACATAAATTGTACCTCAAGTTGTTATTAAAAAGACTACATACATTAAAGAATACATAAATCACATCTCAGGTTGTTAATATCTTAAGTTGCTAAAAAGAATAACGATAAATCTAACAAATAGGTTTAAAGAATGACTTTCCTTGGAGCAATATCAGAGATGTGACTGCCCTGTTGGACCTGAATACTAGCTGGTGGAATAAGGAGATAAGCCAACAATATCTACTAGCAGAAGCCACCTAAGCCTGGGCTCCTGCTCGGAGGCTGAGCCATAGGACATTATGTAGGAGACCAAGGATCAATCTGGGCCTGCAGGAGCTGAGCAGGGAGCCAAGTCAAACCTGGTTCCTTCTGAAATTTGCTTGAGATCCCTGCCTCTGGAATGACTGGCACTCAACTGATTCTCTAGGCAAGGGGGCCATTGAGCCCAGCCCCAGAGCCCACCGGGTATAAACCAGCCATGCCTGAGGGTGTGCAGCCCAGAGGGATGGCGGGAAGAGCTCAGCCTCTGCTTTACTTTGGAAAACAAGCCCATTTAGTCTTTGAAAGGGAACAGAGAGAAGGAGAAAAGGGGGAGAAAGCATATATTCTGTGCTTACTTTGATAGAAATTTATGAGAGAGAAATGAAGAATACTAATAGGAACAAACAATGAGCTTTTGTTTCATTTTCCTTTTTGGGTAATACTTTCAAAGCAGAGCTTAGGTCACTGACACAGGAATTTCTATGTTCCCAGGGTGGTAGCAAAGACAAGAGGAAGGTGTCTTTGGTTGCTCAGTCTTTCCATGAATTCTGCCGTGTTGACATTGGCCATCATGCTGAGGTACAGAGTATGTGTGTGTGTGGGCACATAAGTACATCAGTGATATGCACCCACGTGTAGTTGTGGGTGCGAGGCGGTAGAAAGAATGTGCATGCGCTGGGGAAGCCTGAGTTCCAATCCTGTCCCATCATCAACTTCCGAGCTTCCTGGGAAGACTGCAGTGACCTCACCTGTGCAATAAGGGTGTCAGACACGCAATGACCAAGATCCCTCTCAGCTTTAAGAAACCACATGTGAGAAATAAAGCTGTGATATGGGAGGTCAAAGAGATGAATAAAAGAGACCAATGGCTGTAGGATTTGCAGGCACAAAGTTTTACTTAATGCAAGGAACCCCATCCAAATGATACAAATTCCTAAGGAAAGGAAACACTCCCTGCAAAAATGTGCCCTAGCATATTCCAGACTCAAGGGATCACCCTGGACTTTATCCCTGTATCATCACACAGAAAACAACTGTTTAAAAAGGGAGTAGGAATCATGGGATTAATTTTTAAACGTGCCTTTTTATGCAGCATTGGATCACTTATTATAAATAAAACCTACACACAGACAAGTGAAATTTTTTAAATATTAATAAAAATTATACATATATATATATACATTGAGTGGTCAGATTATTATGATCTCTGAACTCATAATAATATGGCTACTCAGTGTATATCATGTATTCTAAAAGGCTAATATGCAAATTGTCCCTTCAACCAGGAGTTTGACCAGCAGGCAGGCCAGTCAACCACCCATGTCCCCTCCCCCTGGCCAGGCTGGCTGGACCCCACCCATGCACAAATTCATGCACTGGGCCTCTAATATATATATACTGAGTGGCCAGATTATTATGCATTCAGAGATTATAATAATCTGGCCACTCAGTGTATATAGTCTCCATTTTATCTATCAAACAATTCCATAACCCAAAAATATTTTTAAATGCCTCCTCCCACTTAAGTGTTGATATCAAGTTGATTTAAATAAATAATTGAAAGAAAAGCATTTTCCAGAAAAACATTTTGTTATTTTGATGGTTTGTGTGTGTATATGTGTTAGAGTCCATATGTTTTTGTCACAATCTGGAATACCCGACAATTCAAGCCGTTTCACCTTTTTCACAACAGTCTAGTATGTATTATAATTAGAAAACTCTCACATCTTCCAGGAAACTATTCAGAGTTGAAGGGTCCCTTTTTCCCTTTATGCACCTGTGCTGATTCATACAGGAAAGGCATCACACAGAGAGTGATTTTACCTGTTTGTCATTAATAGAGTGCTTTTCAATTTCTTTCTTTGCCTGCAGCAGCCTCTCCTGAAAGCAAGAAAGAATTATTAGTTCTGGCGATTGTCTATTCGTCTGCTTGTTTGTTTAAAAGGAGAGGAAAAGTAATTATTTGTGTAAGTACTCATTAAGTTCTAGAAAACACAAAAGACAGCACCTATGTTACGCAGTGATGGGCCACCATCAATGAAAAAAAGAAGCTGTAGCATACGCTAAGTAATAGCAAATTGTTAAATTCATGGTATAGAAAAATAATAGAAAAATAAATGAATTTCAAAAATCTCAATTGTATTATTTGTTGATGGGTACCCTGTCAGTTCTAATCAATGTTTTGATCTGACATTTGATATAAACAAGAACAATCATGTGGATATGCAATTAGGGTGCATGTGATTCCATGTCGAGAGATCACCCAGCATTTCCCTCCTCTGCTATAAAAGCAAATAGAGAAAAATCACTTTCCGGATGGACCAGGTACATCCATGCCTGGCTACTCTCACCATTACTCTTTAGACCAGCAAAGCTGTCCATGGAACAGTAATTTTTCCAATAGCTCATTTTGCTTGTTTCACTCATTTTCAAGAAGACAAATACTGTTCTATAGTGCCTTACTTTGCTTTAAAAGATATAATTTAAATACGTCGTAACAGCAGTAAAGCACAAAAGGAAAGGCAATCCTTTGGAAAGACAAACCTATTTTCTATATGTAAATATGTCTATAATAAAATAATATTGTTCTGTGAATAGATTATATGCACTACTCAACTTTGCAAAAATCAGAATAAAATATTACACCAGAAAATAAAGGACTTCTGGAGGGCAGCAGGCCCATCTGCTCGCTCACCTCCAGCCACACAAGGATCACACAATGAGCTTCTGAGCACCCAAAATGCGGGTCTCCCTTGCCCCCCTTTCCATCTGCCTGGAGTCAAATACGGGCAATGTTTAAACCTCACAAAATACCTTTCTATTAAAGTCGTGTTTCCATTCCTTTAAGGTGCATCAATGCCAAAGCAAATTCAGTGTTTGTTAAGTAAAAGATAGAGCTAATCCTGCCTTTCTTGATTTTAAAAAGAAACAATGGATGCCCAGGCCTAATTCTGTTGTCACTGTTTGAACGTTTCCCCCAGGGGCTCCTATGGCTGGTCACTCCCACTGAGGCCTGCTCACTTGTGCAGCCCTGCCGGAGCAGTCACAGTACTCCTGCTCTCCCTTCCAGTCTCCACTCAACAACGAGCACCACTATGCCGGGCACAGAACAATAGCAGTGGCAATACAGCCCTGGTCCCTTCCCCCACCCCATGGAACAAGGGGACTCCTACTGTTTGTGTGAATAGAGTGGCACTGCTTCACAGGGCACGGAAGCAGCTTTGGCAAGAACAGACCTTGTATCAACTAAACACAGAAAAAACAGGTGTTTTGCTCAATTGCTGGGGAGGAGTGAGACTCTTCAGTGGGGTCTGGGTTTCCCTAGAGATGTGTATCATGTCATAAACAAATCAGAAACATCTACATATGCTATCAGTGCCACCAACGCTTCTGCCAGCACCGCCAGTGGGCACAGAGCCCTCCAGGCTCCCTGTGGCCAGGTGTGCTGCCTAACTTCCTCTTGGCGTCTCCCATGCCAAAATCAGCAGTGTCTATGGTGTTGCCTAATCGTTGCTGGCACTAAATACATATTTGTGGAGCTGGTCTGATTTTGATCAAGAAACTGCCCTGGATATGAGAAATAACGGTGGCTCAGGAAGCGTACCTCAAACTGGAGATTTCCAGTGCAGGTGTCAAAACCAGGACGTTGTTACAATCTCTTTGATTAATTTAAAGTTGAATGAGTTACTTATAACATGCCTAGAAGACTTACCTCATTTCGTGCAACCAGAGTTATGAATGCGCCTTGTTTGTAGCACTCGATAGCAATACACTTTCCAATGCCACTGGAGCCTCCTGTGACCTAAAAGTAAAAAAAGGAAAAAAAAAGTCTCCTTAGCACTTGGCATTTCCATTCTATTGAAAGTTCATCTAAAATAATTATGATGGGCTTTAAAATCCAATAGAAAAACTAAGTTTTTAGCTACTCTTGCTTCTTCATCCCAGACTTCATGAGTGCAAACATGGAAGATTGTACCATTAGCAGAGCCTGCTGTCATTGTCCCCTCCCTGAACTATATATATCCACTGCACACCTATTCATTTTCCTGAGTTCACTGGAGGGAAAGTGTCCTATAAATCTAGCTAATAATAATTAGACCTAAGTGCCCATCAATAGATGAGTGGATAAAGATGTGGTACATGCATATAATGGAATATTACTCAGCCATAAAAAAGAATGACATCTTCCCATTTGTGACAGCATGGATAGAAGTAGGGGTATTATGCTAAATGAAATAAGTTAGAAAAAGACAAATACTATATGAAAGAGCATTATATAAAAATAAAATAATATAAATGATATAGAGCATAAACTCATGGTTGTCAGCTGGAAGGAGGATTGGGAGACTGGATGAAAAAAGTTTAGGAATTGAGAAGTACAGATTGATAGTTACAACATAGTCACAGGAATACAAACTACAGAATAAGGAATATAGAAAATATATTGTAATAACTGTGTATGGTGCTAGTAGGTACTAGCATAATTGAGGCATCACTTGGTAAATTATATAAATATCTAATTATGCTCATAGCTGAAACTAATCTTTATATATAAAAGGCTAAGTGACCATTGTTATGTCTCTCTGACTATACAACCCTCTGACTGTATGTCTGACCGACCAGCTGGTACATATGACATACACTGGCAATTTAAAAATAAATGTTGACTCATGAATGTGTGATAAATATAAAGCTCTTGCTGATACCAATCTAGACAAAGTAGGAATATTTCTACCTGAACCAGTTTTCAGACATGGTCACTTATATATTGCTTTCTCTCAAGTTCAAAGAGTGTGTGAAGCTAAAGTTGTAAATATTTAATCACAAGGAAAATTAGTCAAGCACTCTGAAAGTGTTTTTACTCTTAATGTGGCATATAGGTAGATATTAGAATGAGTTTAATCAATTTATCGGTCATTGTTTTTATCAATGTTTTTGTTGTTTTTATACCAGGTTTTTGTGGTTTTTAAATCATGTCTTTGTTATTGTTATATCATGTTGTTATTTCTCCTAATTAATTTCCTTTCAATGTGCACAAATTCATGCACAGGTCCACTAGTATAAAATAATATTGAAAAAGAAAAATACCTTTGAGTCCAATTCTAAGTGAATCCTATTTCCTCACTGCATACCTCCTGTGCATGACCAGTTCTACAAGACATGAAAAGAATGGCCACCTGCATATGTTCTGTGATATTTTCAGTGACTGCTTATTATAAAGTAATGTATGATCTCATGGAAATCCTGAAAAGTACAGCTTGTCTTCCTCACTCTTCCGCCCTCACCATCTACAGCTCAGTCACCCTGGCTGTCTTTCATGTCTATGCTCTTGCTGACCCCACAACAGGACTCCGCACAGCCTATGTCCCCAGAGGGAGGCTCTGTTCATCCGGCTGGCACCTACTCCCCCATCTCAGCTCAAACATGCCCCTCAGGAAAGCCTTCCCCAACTGCCTGGCATCTCCTCCACCCACTTTTCAGCACTGCATCCTTTTTTCCCTTTAGTTCATGGCACTCGCAGATCAAATAGCCATGTGATGATTTGCATGATTATTTAATTCACAACCATCTCTCCTATCACCGCCCCATAAATTCCATTAGAAATACCAACTCTCTTTTTGCTCCCTACCATATTCCTAGCACTTAGCACAGTGCCTGGCATATAAGAAGTACTCGATGTATATTTAACTTAGTAAGGCAAATGCAATATTTTCTTTCTAGTCATTTTTCCCTATGTAAATTCTACAACACGGGGGGGGGGGGGGATATAGAAAGGGGTGATGAGCCTCTGGCTGTCAGGTGAAAGGGATTGGAACTGTTGGGATGCATCTGACCTAAGAGGATATTGTATCCTATTTAAAACTAAAAGGCTTCACAATATTGCATTCACAGCTCTATCAAAACCATTAGTTGACCATTTCCCTATAGTCAGACAATTGGATTATTTCGAATATTTTGCTGTTAGTCCTGCTGTAATGAACATCTTTGACCCCATCCCATGATTTTAAATCCTCATGAGGCCCCTCCTAGACAATGTATTCATCTCCATGCAACTCCCAGGCACCTCCTACTTCTCTTTAGCTTCATCTTTCCACCACTCATGGGATTTCTTTGGCAGATCATTAACCAATTACCTACAGGTTACTGAAAAACATATCTATTGCCTAGGTGAGCGGTCGCCTCTGAGGAGGTCTCTACTATGGAGCTATTTCACAGATGGTTTCTGTTTATTAATTTGCACCAAACATTCCAATTCCATAGCAATTAGCATACTCCTAAAAAACGTCCCGGCTGTTTTATGATGCTCCTGCTGCCTAAATGTCCCTCCATCCAATATCCCAACACACACCTACATTTCCAAATCCTGCCTACCCTGCAGGGGCCAGCTCCAATTTCACTTCCTCCAACCAGCTCTTCCTGTCACTCAGTCCCATCCTTTACCTGTCACTTCTATCTTGGGCACAGTTACTTATGTCCACGTCTCAGTAGTCCCCCCTGCCAGACTGTAAGTCCCTTGAGGATGAGTACCCACTCCAATTTACCGCCCTCATTCCTAGCACAGTGCAAAACATAAGCAGTTTCAAAAGGAACACTTGCCTACATTCATTTGCAGAATGGTGTCTTGTGCCATTTCCATGAAAGACACAATGACAAGAACACTTGTAAGTGAAATTTCCTATCTGTTATTCAGTGAATGAATGGAAGTTATGAAGAAAATGTGCATGGTGTAAAGAGCCATGTTGATATTAGCTGTTGTTATTACTGCTGTCTTTTCCTAGATAGACTGAATAAGTAAGCTAGCTGTGTGAAATTACTGAAAGCACAGACCTGTTCGACCTGTCCACTTCTCAGATTTTTCCATAAGAACAAGAGTAAGACTTCAACTTTTGGGCCATGCTTCATGGGAAACTAAACCCCCAAGCAAGCCAGCTAATTCTTAAATGGTACCTAAGAATAAGCCATTTCTAGGCTATGTTATTCCGAACATTATAAGCAAATATAAGAGATCTTCAAGATGGCTGAGAAAAATGGTAACTGTGTCCTGAGTTGCCTGACAATTGGTAAACTGAGCCCAGATGTGGGACACTAAAGATAAGTATAATTTCCTTCCTTTATCATTCCCTCCTACTATTCATTGGAAATTCTACTTAAATGTTACTAACTTTAGTCACACCCTGCCCCTCTTATTGAAGGCAAGAGAGGGGAGGGTGTTACAAGGAAAGTTGCTCCCAGCCATCTCCAAGGAAGGAAAACTTGACTTTCCAGTACACAAGTCAAGCAGCTTTTTAAAAACCAGCTGATGTACACATGTGCATACCCTATAAGACTTCTGTAATTAGGGAGATAACACTAGTATGGAATAATTGTTCTAAAAAAACGAAACAATAAATAATTATGGCCTAGTCTGTTCATGCTCCCACATAATCAAGCATGCCAAATGCCAGCTCTCCTAACACCCCCTGGTCTAGTCCTAACAAATCTCAAGAAAAATAATTACGTTTTCGCTCTCCTTCTAACATTAAAAAAGAGGACAGATGGTGACAGATGTGAATTATTCATGTCACCCTCACATCACTTGTAAGGGCGTTTTAAAACTAGTCAGTGAAAATAGGAAACTCCTCTTGGTCTCTCCCAGACTTGTCTGTTTCCTTACCTACCAGCGGCCTGCAGCGTCAAAATAGTCAAGGCTAAAGGAAACTCTCAAAGACACTGACTCAAATTTTTCATCAGTGCATCTGGCTTCTTCCAAGTTATGCTCTGCAAACCTAAGTTCTGAAAGAATCCAACCTTTAAAGCCATGCGATCGTGGCGGAAATTATCATGCGGATGCGGATGGATGTGACACTTTCAGGATTTGGCATGTCTGCAAAGTTTTGCTCCTCTCTCTCTTTCTTGCTCTCTCTCAAAGAATTTACACTCACCTCCTCATCTATCTTCCACCTAGGGAAGAGCAGGAGTTGGAGATTCACGAATTGTTTTTACAAAGGAGAACTTCAAGAAAACGCCTCTCCTCGTTCACAAAGCTGGCCCAGATTTAGAAAAAATGACATTAAAAGAAATGACCATCCTGTCCTACCGCACACACAGGGGAGACTCCAGCATTTCGCCTCGAGCACCAGGAGGATTCTTGCCACCAGCTTAGACCTTACCCTCAACCTCCCGCCTCCGGGTGCCCCCCGGGGTGGGGAAATGCAAAGCCCCCGCAAAAAAAAGCGCGGTGCTGGCGCAGGGCAGGTGGCATCCTCCGTTTAAAACAAGTGCCACACCTGCAGAAAAGGGAATCTTCGAAGACACGAGCTTCCGGTAAGAAACAAGCCAAACCCATCCCCGGCCCTTTCACTCCGAAAACACCGCCGGGTGGATCGGATTCCGAGGCTGGCACAGGGTCGCCTGGAACCGCCATCCGCAGATCCCAGGCTGAGCTCCCAGAGAAACCAGCTGTGCAGACGGGGCCGAAGCGTCCCCGCACCTCCCTCCCTCCGGCCAGGGCTGCTGGCCCCCTGGGCTCGGCCCATTTCCCCGAGTGAGTCCCCCCCTCGATGCCACGGGCAACTGCTGGGTCCGCCCCTGGCACAGGCCGGCTCCCGGCTCCCGGCTCCCGGCTCCCGGCGCCCCGGCCTCTCCAGGCGGCAGGGACCCCCTTCTCCGCCTCCCCCTGCCCCCCGATCACGGAGCCCTGGACAAAGTTTCTCAGCCTCTCCGTGGACTGACTCATGGGGAAACTGAGGACAAAAACAGCCCCCTCCCAGGGATGCGCGGGGGTCACCAGCGGCTCCGGCCCCCGGGGCTCCGGGAGGAGCAAGCGGTGGCGAGGCCGGTCCCCGAGGGCCTCGGCGCGGCCGGCGCAGGTGCCCGGCGGCCGGGGCCCGTGGGCGGGAGCCGGGGCGGCCGAGGGGCCGGGGGCGCGGCGCAGCCCCGGGGGAGGCCACTCACCACCACATGCGCGCCGGGCAGGGCGAGCGGCTTGGGGCTGATGAGCGGCGACAGCATGTAGAGCAGCAGCACGAACGCCACCAGGCAGGTGCCCGCGATCAGCAGCAGCATCGCGCGGCCGGGGGTCCGGGCGGCGGCGCGGGATCACGTGCGGCCGCTGCGGGCGCCGGTGTCCGGGTCCGGGGAGGCGGCGGCGGCGGCGGCGGCGGCAGCGAGGGGAAGAGGCGGAGCCGGCGAGGGCGCGACCGCGGCGGGGCGGCGCCACCGGCGGAGGCGCGGGAGCCGGGGCGCTGTGCCCGCGGCTAGGCCGGCCCGCAGCCTCCCCCGGCCCCGGCCCCGGCCCCTGATCCCCGATCCCCGATCCCCGGCCCCGGCCCCGGCCCCGGCCCCCCGGCGCCCCCAGAGCCGGTGGCCGCGCTGGTTCGGGCCGCGGAGAGCTGGTGTCCCGCCTCCCGGGGCCGCGGGTTCCGCCACGTCGCCGGGTGTCGCCCAGCCCGCGGCCCGCCCGGCCGGAGCCACTCGGGCCCGCGCTGTGGAGCCCGACCCGCGGGCACCTGGAAGCCCGGGATCAGGCGCTGAACCCCGGCCTCCATTTCACAGGTTCTGGGCGTTCCTAGAAAATGGTCACAACCCATTGTCGCTTTTCAGAGGAACTGGAAGACCTAAATAGGGTCTTTAAAAAAGCCACTCCGATGGTTCCATTTCCTTGAGCTGAGTTGTTGTTGTTGTTGTTGTTGTTGTTGTTGTTGTTGTTCTTCTTCTTCTTCTTCATCAAAGCAAGGTTTCAATGTAAAAAATAATAATAAATAAAAAGATTGGGATCTAATTCATCTTCTTCTTCTTCTTCATCAAAGCAAGGTTTCAATGTAAAAAATAATAATAAATAAAAAGATTGGGATCTAATTCATATCCCTATTTAAAGTGTAAAATAAAAATAGATTTATTGTACTCAGAGCTATGCAACCTCTCCACAGTTTTAGAACATTTCATTACACCTCCCTCTCCCCCAAAATATCCTGTGCCCATCAGGCAATCACCAGTTTTTAACTCTATCGGATTGCTTATTCCAGATATATAAATGGGATCATACACTAGGGAGCCTGTGGTGTCCAGCTTCTTTCCCTTGGCATGTTTTCAAGGTCCATCCATGTTGTAGCATGTGTCAGTATTTTATTGTTTTTATCAACAAATTGTATTCCATTGTGTGGACAGATCACATTTCATTTATGGAGTCATTAATTGATGGGCAGTAAGGTCGCTTCCACTTTAGGGCTTTTGGGGTTTTGTTGTCATTTTTAAATTATATTTTTATTGATTTTTAAGGAGAGAGGAAGGGAAAAGCTTAGAGAGATGGAAACATCAATGAGAGAAAGAGAAACATCATCAATAGGCTGCCTTCTCCATGCTCCCCACAGGGGACTGAGCACCCAACAGGGCATGTGCCCTGACCTGGAATCCAACCGGCGACCTCTTGGTTCCAAGTTCAACTGCTGAGCTACACCTTGGGGCTTTCGTGAATAATGCTGCTGTGAACTGTTCACAATCAAGTTTTTGTGAGGACACATGTTTTCCTTTATCTGGGGTATAGACCTAGAAGTATAATTGCTGACTCTTGTGAACAGTAAAGGGGTTCTACATAAAGTAACCTCACAGGGTGATCTAATCATAAATTCCTAAGTGGGCAGGTCATGGTGGGTAGGCACGACCCAACACTTGTTTAGTAAATAGATCTTTTCAAAGGTGTGTAAATCTTCTAAAGCATGACCTCAAGAGAACACATAATCATGTTAATTATGCTGTAACCCAATCTCCCACCTTGCTTTCTCCCACCTTCAAGTGATCTTGCTTCTTTCTTTAATTCTAAATCCACAGTCATTACTTTTATATATAAATACATATATATAATATTGATTTTTTTTTTTTTTTTTTTTTACAGAAAGGAAGAGAGAGGGATAGAGAGTTAGAAACATTGATGATAGAGAAACATCGATCAGCTGCCTCCTGCACACCCCCCACTAGGGATGTGCCGGCAACCAAGGTACATGCCTTTAACCGAAATCGAACCTGGGACCTTTCAGTCCGAAGCTCTATCCACTGAGCCAAACCGGTTTCGGCGCAGTCATTTCTTGGAAGCATTTATCTCAGTGTGTTGCGATCTGGCTTCCAAGCTTATCCTCTGTTTGGCTCAAATAAAGTTTTTATAAAAATTGTCTGCAGGTTTGACCATTCTCACATTGACAATCTTGTAACTGTTTCACCAGAACTGCCAGACTGCCAAAGGAGCTGAACCATTTTACAGTCCCAGCAACAGTATGTGAGGCTTCCAACTTCCCTATATCCTCAGCAGCATGTACCATCTTTTTAATTATAGCCTTCCTAGTGGGTGTGAAGTGACATTTCATTGTGATTTTGACTTGCATAAGGCACTTATTTTTGTTTGATTGCTTGCCTTTCCTTTTTGTTGTTATTTTTAGGAATACTAAGGAGCTCAGGAGCAAAGGATCTGAGTTTTTCTTCTTTGTTCACTTACTGCCCTGAATTAGCCAAATTACACAGGGTTTGTGGGCACACGCCCAATGACTTCTAACACCAATTGCAAGTTTGGGCAATTCCTAAACCACCTTCTGTTTTGATAAGTCTCTAGAAGGGCTCACTGAGAACTGTTATATTCATGGCGATCGATGGTTTACAACAGTCAGCTAGGGAAAACTATGCATGCGGCAAAGTATGGAGGGCTCTAAATGCACAGCTTCTGTTGTCCTCCCATGGAGTAGGACATGTGACACTCTCAGCATTTGTGTGTGACAATATGCATCAAACTCATCTGGTGTGCAGAGATTTTTATTGAGGCTTCCTTATGTAGGAGTGATTGATTGCCCAAAGGGCTAAACTCAGTCTCCAAGTCAAATGATCCAAAGCTTATGACATGGTCAATTTTTCTGGCATGGCCAGCCCCCATCTTAAAATCCAGTTTGGCTAGCCCTCAAATAAACAAAGACACTTCTATCAGGTATAACATACATCACTTCCCAGAAGCCAAAGCCGAAGGCCAGACCTTCTCTTTGCGCAAGGCCAAATTCTTTACCACACAGGCCATCGCCTGGTCTTTGTTCTCCTAAAAATAAACACATGCCTACTTTCAGTAGGAGGCTCCTAACTCAATTTCCTTATGGATTTGGCCACAAGTAGCAGCACTGTAATCTCACTAACACAATGACAGCGTTACACTGTATCGCTGTACCAGGTAGAAAAAAATGAAGTTGAGGTGATAGGAGAAAAGAGAAAAGTGTAGTCACAAGGACTATATGGTCATGCTGGCATCCTCCCCTACCCTTCTCCACCAGCTCCCCACAAAGAGTGGAAGAATCTAGTGGGGACCCTCCCTTGGTCTCCCTCCTGCTGAGGATGAGTGCACGTTCAACAAGACCTGTAAGTCAGCCCTACGACCTTTATCTTCTCTTCCTCCATTCAACGGCCTGTTTCAATTCTCTACTAGAACTTTACTCTGAGGATGATATGCAGCATATGACCATTACATGTGCTTGCTTCCTCTCTGGCCACTGTTGGACCCTACGGGCTATAAAACGTGCTACTAGGTCTGAAGAAACACAATTCAGCCTGACTTGGTGCAATATCTTCTGGTTCAAGCCTTTTATAGCATGTTGAGCTTTGCATTTACCTCTGGGCATGCAAAACCCAGCCCAGTCTTTCTACTCAGGACAAAATCTCCTTGTAACCTTCCAGAGCTAAAAGCATCTATTTGCCGCCAACTCTGTGTCACACCTTCCCTCTGGGGAATCTTCCCTATGGTCATTGGCAGCCTGTCATTTAAAAAAAATATATATTTTTATTGATTTCAGAGAGGGAGGGAAAGGGAGGAGAGATAGAAATGATGAAAGAGAATCATTGATTAGCTACCTACTGCAGGCCCCATGCTGGGGATCAAGCCCACAACCTAGGCATGTGCCCTGACCAGGAATTGAACCATGACCTCCTGGTTCATAGGTCAACACTCATCCATTGAGCCACACCAGCCAGAGAGGCTCTGTCATTTTTGTTGGCACAGGAAAGTTATTTGGTGACCCAGAGGGAACAAGAGGACTACCAGTATGTCTAGATTCATCCCAGCTTTGAATTGCTGTGGCCCCACATCCATTCATTTTATGACCCAGGTGGCCACCTCAAGTGAGCATACCAGAATATCCACTTGCTGGTTCCGATCACCTTCCAAACTTAGGAGGTTCTTCTGATGACCAGCGACAGGCCCTACTTTAATGTACCCCTTGAGTTTCCATAGTGATTTCCGTACAGCTATGTCACTTACAGGCATCCCAGGTTCCCACCACCCTTATACCTAACCATATGGCCAAGCCATTAGCTAGTGCCCAAGAGTTGTTTCAACAAACATAGGGACTAACAGTATGTAATTCAGCCAACTGAGCTGGTTTGTTTTTACCTTCTTCAGAGTGGTAGCCTTCCAAATTGGGTGCTGTCCACTCATGCACCTTGAACCTGACACATTTCTTCTTTTGTTTGATAAAGAGCTATGCTTAGGACGTGGCCCAAGTGGCCACAGTGGCTACAGGCCCAGCAATTCCTCAGGTGGCTCCAAAGTCAGCCCTCCTGGAGTCTATCTGCTATGAGCACAGTTCACTTCTTTGTATTTCCTGGTGGCATGTTCCTGCAAAACCGGTTCCGTTTTATTATGAAACATTTCTAGGCACTGCCTTCCCCCTTAGAGTGTTTCTCTAACTTCACCAAAGATGATGTATCTCCAACTGTCTCTCTAGGGAACTCTGATTAATACAGGGGGGATTCTGGACTTAAAGGCAAAATTATGAAATCTTTAGAAAACACATTGGATTTTAAAAGAATGAAGACTTTTGGTCAGTCAGGGGACAAAATAAAAACCAGGTCACTTATTTACAAAAGAAATCAGGCTAGATTTCTCCACAGTAACATTCAACATGAGAGAATAATAATCCTATATAATCCTATCTTATAAAAGAGTAATTGCAGATTGACCATCATTCCAACACACAAGATGGCTGTCCATATATGGCCAAAGATCCTACCCTCATGTGGACACAAGATGGCCGACACAAGATGGC